TGTCCTGCCGGTTTATTAGTGTCCTGTTTATGGTGGGGACCGATGCGATAAAGAAACTCATCGAGCCTTGGAATTAAGAGTGAAATATAACTACAATACGGAAATGTCAGTTTGAAATATGAAATACCGTATCGCGGGAGGTCCCTGCCGTAGAAAAAGTTACAAGACAAAAGTTATTGTCCCTGGCTCGATGAATTTATTTGTCGCATCACATTTTGACCCTCATTGTGTTCGGTAAGACCGAACAGTTTCTTTAAACTGTCCTGACGACCGCCTTTAGTTTTTTGTCTTGAATTTATTTCCGCATTAAAAAAAATATTCTTTCTTGACGAGAAATTATACTTCTTGTTAACAATTACGATAGGTGCGTAATATATTGTAATATATATTGTAATATATATATATTAATATTAATATATATATTGTAATATATTGTAATATATTCTATATTTAATATAGATAATATTAAATTACTATACTATATATATAGTATTCTATATTTAATATAGATAATATTAAATTACTATACTATATATATATAATTATATATATATATATTATATATATAATTATATATTATATATATTATATATATAGGATTCCGTAAATTTGGATTCAACGTTCGACGTTAATCGACTTCTGACGTTTGAAAATATCTGTTCTCGAAAATGAGATCAAGAAAGAGATCAAGATTCAGATTATCTCGTCAATCAGACAAACTGTGCGCGTTGCATCGATAAATAAATTAAACGAGACTACTTCAAACGAAATGGCCCTTCGGATATTTATTTACTACGTAGCACGATTATAGCGACGTAGGAGTTTTCATCGCCGTAACAGCAGCACGTTTGCAAAAAATCCAAAGGCGAGGGTTGCTAAATGCTGCAGCTGCTGTTACGACATGGCGCCGCGATCGAAGGTAACGACGAAATTGTGCAAAACAGCAGGATTTCAGGGGAAATCATGAATTGGGACTGCGACGCCATAAAATATCTCCAGATATCTCGGGCTGGCTAATCCCAGCTGTAAAGCGGCCAACCGTTCGAAAAATAGGATGGCTGTGGAAAAAGTTACGGTGGATCCAGCTAAGTACACCAACAGAGGGTAAGAACAGCGGCTCGTTGGCTGGATTAGGAAGGTGGTTAGAGCTCGTGTTTCGATGGCCTCGCTGCTATTTATCAGCGTGTAAAGAGGTGCAAGAGCACATGCTGGAGTACTTAAAAAGACCACCGTTTCTTTGCTTTCTTCTTCTTTTTTCTCCTCTCTCTCTCTTTCTCTCTCTACTCGCTGTTTAACTTTAGCAACGGTACGCGATAGGAACAATGGTGGAATCGCCTTTGGTGTCAGTTCTTACATATCTGGCTGAATACCTTTTTCGGCGACAGAAAATCAGAACAGCTTGTGTCGTGTTCGTCGCTACTTCGAAACATCTGTTCTTGGAAAGAAATCTGTCAATTATCATTTATTCGCTACGAATAAAGAGAGAGATTCAATGTCGACTTGAAGCGAAGTTGAATCTCGCAGGGCACAGTTGTAGAACGACGTTCGAGTATAAATACAGGGCTGAAACGTCAGCGAGTTGAAAGGCTCGGCCATCGCCTGTTGACTCGAGCAAACCGCGGCATCGATACGACGTTCGTCTCGTTAATTGGTGGATAATTGCTCGTTGGAGAAACCGGGCAACCTAATGTACTATTAAAGTTGGTTGGCACGGGTACGAAGGACAAAAGGGTAGCGCGAGACACAGCGCGGGGAAAAGATGAGCGGCGGTGGCTGCAGCGGCGGGGTCGAGTTTAGTATGGAAGAGACGAGGGGGATTGAATCTTGTCGGTAATTAATGAGGAAAGTTTTACAAATAGCCGAGGGCATAGTCGCTAAACGCCTTAGCGAGACCGTGAATTCCATCCGCAAGCAAAATATATATCCCGCGAAAGTTAGTTTTTAATTGATAATTATCTTTCCGGGTATAAACGGTAATCAGCGTTCCATTCCGTTTCCCTGTCCACCTAATTGCTCCTTCTTCTTCCCGCCGCGCGTTGCCATTCCCGGATTGTCGATCCGGGCAAACGGGAGACGAGGAGAGAACGACAATTTCGAGGTCTGTAAATAAATTGCCCGTGCACATTTACATTTCGCGAGTTTTGAAGTTTGTTGGGAGAAAAGGAAGAGAAAGCAGAGACGGTGAAACGTGTCAAGAGGTTTTTGGTAGCCGTTCACCGCAAACAGCAAGGTGTTTGATATACTCTTCAACCGACCAAGTTATGCCAGGCAGAGTCACCTAAGACTTGAAATTGAAATATTTT